TTAGTGGCGGTTCTTACATCTCTTAACACAATCCATACATTCCTCCAATGTTTCAAGCACATTTGCACATATGCTGCCATCATCATTCTCAAAGCACTGTCTTCCCACTTCACTGGAGCCCCTGATATCAGCTCTCCATTTCTTCCCCTTCCTTCCCCCACCCGCCCTCCCTCACGAACCCTTGATAAGTTACAGATTATTTTTCCCATATCTTACATCATTCTCCGTTGCCCACTTTTCCATTATTTATCCCTCTGGGAGGGAGTTCTAGGTTGATCCTTGTGATCGGTATCCCCTTTCTCCCTCTACCCTCCCCTAATCCTCCTGGTATCTCTACCCTCCTTGTTGGTCCTGAGAGGTTCATCTATCCTGGATTCCTTGTGTTGCAGCCTCTCATCTGTAGCAGTATGCATGGCTCTCATCTGTAGCAGTGTGCTACAAATCCGATTTGTAAGGTAGAATTGAGGTCATGATAGTGGGGTTAAGGAAGCACCAAGGAGCTAGAGGAAAGTTGTGTGTTTCATCGGTGCCTTACTGCACCCTCATCTCGATTTCCCTGTGACCTCTCTGTGAGGGGATGTCCAGTTGTCTACAGAGGGGCATTGGGTCTCCACTCCATGCCCGCCCCCATTCACCTTGGGTCTGGTTTTATTCTGGGTCTTAGATGCCAGTTTTACTCTTAAAGTCACTGTGAATCTATGTTGTTGAGTCGCTGTGACTTCAGAGATTTGGGGTGGCATTCAACTTCCACAAAGTAATTAAAAATGTGAAAGACATTTAATAAGAGCACCTGTCTTCTCAGTATTGTACTGCTTATTCATAATAACTGGCTTAAAAGAATTTCAGACTAGCTGAGGACATAGTTTTTCTCATCTGTTAATTAGAACAGTTTAAAAATTATGTGGTATTAGTTATGTGTGAAGGAGTACTGTTGGCATAGTGGGTTATATGTTGGTAGGCAGATTGAACTCACCAAATGTTCTGTGGAACAAGTGTTCTGCTCCATTAACATTGTCAGCCTTGGAAACCCACAGGGGCCCTTTCTACTCTGTCGTATAGGGTTGCTGTGAGGGGGAATCCACTTGATGGAAGTGACTTACAGTTGGGTAGAATTTTACAACAATAAGGAGTACTGTGGGTGTGCACAGTTTGAAGGGCCTTCGTGAAAGATTGGCAGGACTAGAATTAGAGATGCAGAGAGGAAGGGAATCCTCCTAGAAGGATGGGGCAGGCAAAATCTGAAAAAGTGAAGCAGAATGGCACAGTCGTGACTAAGGTGTGTGCTGTGTAGTATCTCAAAGATAAGGCCGAGGCAAGGCTAGAGCAAATGCCCACTGATGATTTGAGGCCTGGAGAATGGTGGCTGGTACAGAAACATTATCTCCTTTCATTTTAGGTAGGACGCGGTCTTAGTTTCCAAAGGCTTTTCTAAACAAAATCCCACAAAGCGAGTAGCTTTAAACAACAGAAATGTGTTGTCTCTGCTCTCCCAGGGCCACCGCGGGGAAGATCCTTCCTTGTTTCTTTTAGCTTCTGGTTCTCCAGGTTTCTCTTGAATGTATCTTCACATGGTGTCTTCCTCCTGTGTGATTATTTCTGTGCCTGTTCTCCTCTTTTATAAGATACAACTCAGAAGCCATTAGACCATATCCTATTGATATATGACTTCATTAATTTAACTGACAGCATCAGTATCTTCAAATAAAAAACCTATTTCCAAACAAGGTAACATTCAGAGATGTTAGAGTTGGGACTTAAAACATATTTGGAGGTGGTGTGTCTGGAGGTACAATTTAATCCATAAAAGGAATCTAGTTGATATCCCAACCGATTCTACCTGTTTCATCCTCTTATTGCCTTTCACCTTCTCTCAATCCCATCAGCATTACTCTGCCAAGGGAACAGGTATGGGTTATTAGCCTCAGATGGATGATGAGTCAGAAAGAGGCTTTGGAACATTCGAATGGATTGAACAATTTAAGAAAGAGTAAGGTTCTTTAGAGAGCTCTGGTAGATAAGTGGGAAAATGGTGGGCTTTTAACTACAAGATTGGCGGCTCAAATTCACCAGCAACTTTGAAGAAAAAGAGGCCTTCAGCTTCCAAAAGATTTTCCATCTCTGAAGCCTAAGGAACAGTTCTATCTTCTAGGGTCACTGTCAGTCAGAACCTGCTTAGTGATAGTGGGATGAGTAAGGCTCTTTAGAGACTAAATAAAACAAGTTTTATATTCTAGGTTTACGATTATATTATTATACTTGTTGGGTTATATATTGCTAGAAAGAAAGAAAAATGTTTAGAATGGAGTAGGTATCAGAAATTTAAAGTGCCACAGGTTGAACAGGTATGGAAGGGAGAATGGGAGTATACTCACAAATACATAAATTATCTAGGTCTGATTGAGGATGACTGTATATGTGTACCCATGAATATGGTGACCCATAAATGTACTCATAAATATGGTGACCTATACATACAGGAGGTTAAGTTATGATGACTGTCTAGACATAATCAAATACTTGGAGGAAATCAGTCGCTGGGCTTGGAGGATCAGGACCATAGTCTTGTTTGACACCAACTTCAATTGGTATAACCGTCCACAAAACCAGTATTCTTTATTCTACTTTTGCGAGTTATGACTAAGATTTTAAAAGCTTCTGAACAGCCATCTAAGGGACAACTATTGGTCTTTTGCCATTTTGAGGAAAGAAGAAAGATGAAAATCAAAACATTTGGAAACAGCAATTAGTCCACTGGACTATTGGACCTCACAAAAATCAGTGTCCACAACCCAGACACCATGAGTACTAGATGTTGCCTGGCTACCACTACCAAGTGCTCTGAAAAGTTCCATATTAGAAGGTTTTACACAAAGTGGGAGAATTATGTGGACCCAAACTCTAGATTAAGGTTTTAAAAAACAAACAATTATTGGTCAGATAAAGAACGGTAGAACACCAAATACTGTGGACCCATAGTCATCTTTCCAGCCTGGAGCTGAACTCAACCCTTTGTTAACAACTATTTCAGATCAAAAGGGCAGCATTTACACAAGTAGAAAGTTTCAAAGGGTCAGGAAAGGAGGAAGAATGGAAACAGGAAGTGGGATAAGTGGTTACACATTGAGGGGCTTGCAATGAATGGATTAAAACCAAATGAGTGTGAAATGGTAAATATAAAACATCTGTTTTGAAAAACCACCTAATTTATGACAAGCTTTTTAAAAATAAATCTTAAGTTATGCTGTAAATTAGTCAAACTTTTTACAATTAAGATTTTAATAATCTTTCTACTTAAAGGACTTTTTAGTTGTCCAACTTGAAACCTCATTTTACAGAAAAGTCTCACTCGCTGCCATGGAGTCCTTTCTGACTCATGACGAGCCCACGGAGCAGGGTAGAATTGCTCTAGGGTTCTGAGGCCGTGACTCCACGGGAACACTCCATCTTTCTGCCAGTCACTTAGACTTTTTGAACTTAGAACTTTTATAAAATTAGAAGGTAAAACAGACTGAGATTGTTATTTTCCAGGTATAATGTCCTTTGAATATATTACATAAACGTTTAACCATGTCTGTATTTTTTCCTTTCTCTTCTAGTTTGAGTCTCAGCACCAGCCCATTAGCCATGCGGCTGCCCATCCACTGTCTGTGTGTAACCAAAGAGTACAGCCATATTCTTGTAGGACTAGAAGATGGCAAACTGATTGTCGTGGGTGTGGGCAAGCCAGCGGAGGTAACATTTAGCGTCAAGAATTTACTTTCACGCTCTCTTGTCGATTCCTTTGGTTCTCCTTTGTTCCAGTTGAGTCAGAAGTCACCAGTGTGGATGAACAAATTAAAAACAAATTTGATTTCTCAAAGAACAGTAAATGAAAAGGGGGGAAACGCTATTATTTAAGAATAACATTAAAAAAATAAGAATGGTATTTATATTAGGATACAGTTGAGAGCACACACTTGGCAGTTTGTAACTCCCACTCTGTAGGAATGAGAAATTTCTTTTCTCTATCTCTGCAAACGGAAATTTTAGAATATATCCTAGATTGTTAAAAGCTTTTATGAAAAATGCAATATAGATTCAAAAATATAATTCTTTAGTCTAACAACTATCCAGCATGACTGTTTGTCATTTGTCCTTTTGTAAAAGCAAGAATTCTTAGCACTAAGAATATACCCCCTATAATCTGCTTATTTTCAAAAGAGTTTCTTATGGTGATTGTCAGTTTTATTTGCCAAAAGTTTATCAGTTCCTCATTATTCTTATACCATCACTTGAATGCTTATTCTGGGAAACAGTGTGGCTATGTCATTTATTGCATAGTATCAGATTAAGCACGATAAATTTTTAGCATCACCATCTGCCTTCTCTGAGAAATCTTAACAATGTGACATCTTTAAGGGTATTTGAAAGAGAAAATTTACTATCAGTGTCAGTGGTTATCTTCTATCAGAAACATTTTTTAAAAATTCAAGATTTCCTTAGTCATGGTATTCTTTCATAGTATTAATTTAACAAAGAAATTTTGTTAAAGTGCCAAGAACATTAGTTTTAGACATAATAGTCCCCCAATGTCAGTAACTTCTCAGTATTTCACTTATAATTTAAGCATGCTTCCATTCAACACTAAGTTTCTTGATTAATAATCCTCCCCGCAAAATTGCTCTGCTAATATGATACTTCTTAAGAAATCAGCTCAGATTTTATTCTTTGAATTTGCCTGACTTCCTGTGAATTCAAAGGCCTTTAAACTTGTCCTCCCCAGTTTGACAGTTTCTGATTTTACTGGAAAACATTTAAATGAAATGACCTTTACCTGCAAATTTGGGGGGGTTTTTTTTGGAAAAATAGCCCTTGATTGGAAAAATACGCCTCAGACACTTCACTTTAAAAGCTTTAATTAATGTTTTATAATATTTTGAAGTTCATTTAATAATTTGCCCTATTGAAATGTTTATATAATTTACAACACACAGAATATGATTGTACATGCATTTTAAATTAAAACTATTTTTATGTTTTCTACACCCTTGAGTAGTTCAGCTAACCCAGTAGAATTATTAGTCTACTTTAGTAAAAATCCTATTGTTTAGTAAATAATTTTATTAGATGCTTAAGCTCATATTCAAATCTAATTTATATTATACATGTGTCTATTAAATGTATCAATATTTAGTTATGAAAAGGCATATTTCTCTTTCAAGATAATTTTATCCAAAAAAACCCTTGATTGTATATTTCCAAATCATGTATCAGTTTTATACTCTCATATCAGTATGAAATTTTCACTTAAAAATGTGGTAGTGTCGTAATAAATTAATAGAAGTAATGTTTCACAAAATACGCCTGGGAGTGAAAAGGCACAGCAGGCATGTCAAAGCCACTGGTGAGACTTGTTTTTATTATGGCAGTCAGTGTACCAGCAAAGTGAGTATTCAAAATGGATGACGGAAGGAATGACATTAAAAAGTAGGTTGTAAAAATGAGGACCTAATTCCAGGAACCCAAATGGAAAGCGAATTTTGAGAATGATGAGGGCAACAAATGTATAAGTGTGCTTTACACAATTGCTGTATGTATGGATTGTGATGAGTTGTATGAGGCCCAATAAAATGATTAAAAAAAAAAAAAGTAGGTTGTAATGATAAAAGTCAATGCTAACTAAGTATGTCTTAAGATTGAGAAATATTTCCCAGGGTTTTTTTGTTTCATTTTGAATGTTTTAATCCCACCTAGAAATTAAACATCTTTAAAGATGTTTTGTTTTGTTTTCTTACTGATTCAGTTGATATGTAAATAAGTAAGTTGCTGGGAAGTATATGTTAGTGGTATACATTTGATGGTGTATAAAATGGGATTCTCATCTTCAAAGAAAAATTTTCTATGTTGCCTGTAAACATTATATTGTTTAATAGGTATTATTTTCTTGAATCTTTACATCATAATGTTTTTTAAAATTGTTTTTCTCAAAAATTATTTACTTTTTTTCTTATCTTTTTTATTGATATTATTAGTACTACACATTCAAGAGAAAACTCAGATCTATTGTTCTCCTTAGCTCAACTAAGTGTCAGAAGAGAAGGTTATTTTATCGAAGTGATGCACGTTTCTGTCAATACATGAAACAAGGAAGTTTGGTGAATTTGACATAACTAGGACATGGAATTAAAAATATGCCGCATTGTTTTATTAGGTCTTTTCAATTGCAAGATACAATGTAGAATCATTTTTTTAAAGTATTTATTAATCAAGAATCTTTAAAATGCTAATTATTCTAATAAAACCTATTCCTTCATTCTACAAAATCAGTGATGTATATATCAATTTCATTTAGTCCTCTTTCCCTTTAGTAACTTCTGTCTTTCATTTCTCTGGATTACTTTAAACAGACGCGTACAGGTCAGCTTTCTCGAAAGTTGTGGGGATCTAGCAAGCGGCTCAGCCAGATTTCAGCTGGAGAAACTGAATATAATACTCAAGATTCCAAGTGATCTTTATTTCCGTCTTCTCTTATGGATAACTAAACTTGATTTATTGCTGTGTCACTTTAACCATATCTCTCAGCTATCTAAAATATTTTAGGGATTTTATGCTTGAGAATTATTTAGGGATTACCAAAATTTGATATATGATATATTTATAAATATGTATTATCATCCATGTAAAATTCTTCAGTCAGTAACTGAATCCAATTTTAACGAATTCTTGGTATGTACTAATGTGGATGTGAGAAAATACATTTGATTAGATTTAGTGACTTATTCCTAAGAATTACTCGTCTATTTATTAAAATGAAATTAGGCCTAGTTCGATTAGTCTAAACAGCAAAATATAAGGTATTTGTAGTAAAAAGTACAAGTGACTGAGATATTTGAGAGACATGGTTTTGAATACATTCTTTAGTCAATTATTTTCCTTATTTGCTGAGCACCATATAAAAAACATGTCTATTTTTTTAATGAAAATCCTGATTGAAAGTAATATTTTGAAGGCATCAGTTGTGCATTTGGAGTTTCAATTTTAGTATAAATTCCTAGTGTTCATGGTAATATGAAAATTAGAATATTTCTACTACATTAATTCATCCCACCAATACTTAGTACATTACTATGAAGAATTTATTAAAAAATACTATCCTTCATTAATGAAGTTTGATGAGGAATAAAATTAACAAGATATATTGTAAAGACGTAGTTCATTTTAGATTATAATTAAGCAAAAACGCTGGTTGTGATTTTGACAGGTAGCATTTATAGCACAATCTATATTACAAAGTTTGAAATATTTTGGCTTTTTTTTTCCTAAGCAAATATTGTGGTATTCCCCAATAATTGGAAGTGCTAATAACAATATCCATCTATGTCACGTTTTTACCTATGACTTCTGTGTAATTGAAGAGTTAATTGAAAAGATCTGCATAACTTAAAACTAGTCAGATACAGGGTTTTTTAAAATAGGAAATTCTTTTTCATGCTATGTTGAACTAATTATATATAGGAAAATGTTACATTATGTATTTAAGATTTTAAAGTGAAGGTTGATTTATGTAATTTGAAATTCAAAGAAATTCTTACACGTTGTGTTTTCATAAGGTCATCTTTTGAGTTAGTGCAGGGAACTTTTTTTTTAAGCAGGGAACTTTTAAGAGAATGAGTGTTCTTAATCTGAGGTGTCCTGGGTTTGGGGGATTTTATGCATCCCTGAAAGTGTGTAGAAATTTTGTATGTCAACTCTGCTTTCAGAGAATAAAGGGGCCTGGTACTAAATACACACACAGAAAGAAGAATAAGAATAACCTGTACAATAACACCTGCTTAAAATAACAATACTCTTTTCTATTCCGTGTGTCATAATTTTCTAAAGTCCAATTGTCTTCTCAATTAAAGGTTCAATACATTTTCTCTGCAGTTCAGCTTTCTATTGAGCACAGTATCTTCAATTTTTTTCTTTATAATCTTCTGAGTGTGTAACATAATTTTTGAAAGTAACGCATTCTGTTTAAGGAAGTCCTTTTGTTAATAGTAGATTTTGTTTATTAGGAGTCAGGGCTAGTTATTTTCTTTAAAAAATTAAATCTTATGTTTTAAAAAAATCTTATGTTTCATTTAATAGATGTGTTTTTGAGAAATAAACTAATTCAGGGAGTGTAAAATATAACATACAAGGGTCTTCAATAAGTTCATGGAAAATTCCAGTTTCTTGTCCCCTTTTCCATGAACCTTTTGTAACCCTGTTGTATGTACATTGGAAGGTTTCCTCTTTGAGTCCTTCAAGAATTTGTATTAACAAAAGCCTCAGAACAAGTCCCTAGAAGTAAGTATATTTATAAGTATGACAGATTGCTTCTAGTAGTTTATTGTACTTGGTATGCATTTTTATTTTATAGTTTCTTTTGGGATTTCACATCAACATAACCACCAAAATTGACATTTGTCTTTTAAACTAATTGCTTTTAAGGCCTAAGTGAAAACTTTGAAAATCTTCACATTATTTGTTCAGAGATTTGGTCATAAGAATGTCTTCTTTATTCTCCTTGCCTGAGGTCACTTAATAATGATTTTGATGGGTTTTTTTGTTGCTTTATAGGCAAAAAAACAAACAAACAAACTCAGATTTCCAGTGAAAACACCCTAAGTTTGTGCTGTTTGACTCTGCTGCTTTTTAGGTTGAGAAACTGAACAAGCAGTATTCATTGTTTAGCAAAATAGGAAGTAGTTTCATTCACAGTAGAATCATATTTCAACTATAGTAGTAGTACTGCATGTTCCCACCGGTGGAATTATTCTTTTCATTCTTCCCAAGGTTTTGAAATGTGAAATTTTAACCAAAAGTCTTTGAAAATAGCAGCACTCTAAAAGAATGGACTTAAAAGTTATCTCTTAATTAAGTAAGTACAGTAGTACAGTTAGCTTACTAATTGTTAGGGTTTCTCCAGTTTGCAAAAGTTGAACATTCCTATGATCTCTCTGTAAAGGGAAAAAGCAATTATCGTTAGTTTATATGGGAAAACATTTTAAGCATATTCAGACGCAAAAATAACCTACCAAATCATACCAAAGAACACATTAACCCTAAAGTAACCCAACACCGAATGCTGACAGACACAGTGCAGAGCTTGATGCCCAGTGTGGTATGGGAAAGGTGTTTGGCTGATTTTGCCCCAACCCCACCCTCCTTCACTGTTGAGGATGCATGGCTGTCACCTTTTAATAGCTCACTGCAAAACACTGAAAGCTGCTTTTGCTTCTCTCTGTGTGTGTACAATATGGAAAACCCTCTCAGGCTTTCTTTAAGCTAATGAACAGAGGCACAAATGTAGGTCTTCTGTAAAAGCCAACTGTGCTGCAAAGCAGACTTTGGCAAAGCAGGGGATCCTTTCCCCCCCTCTTAAATGAGAAAGCCCACAAAAGTCACAAACATTAGATAAAACCATTAGAAACATGCGCTTTTGGGGAGTGTATTTAGATGCTATCTGTGGAAATTTTTTCTATATTGTTATATGAAAAAATTAGTATTTATTCCAGTGGGGATTTTAGTTGATGAATATAATATCTCAACTTGGCTGTTATAAAATTGTTGTCTGGGCAGGAGTTTTCACCAATTTTTGTTTCTGGCCACTAGCTATTATGGAAATAAAAGATCTTAGCATCCTGGTCTTACAGGAGAGATATATTTTAAGATACTTTTAGAAAGTGAGAACAAGTTATTAGAGCATATAGCTGTGCTCATTCAGATAATAACAAAGTTTTATTTAAATTTTTTTCAACTTCTCATTCAATATCCTGTCATTCCTTCATGAAACTGGAGGAGCAAAGGAAAAGTAGATCAGAGCATCAGAAATGTGTAAAAGTGAAACTTGACCAGTTTTTAAATTCTCTTTTATGCCTATGGAGTTCAAGTCAGCCAGGAAGAAGTTTCTGTTTGCTTCTTTAAGTTTACCATGCATCTGTTTGTAGCAGAAAATGCCAATTCATTTTGTCGTAATCAAGAATATCAGTAAGGCTTCATTTTTTCCTCTATTTTAAGACATAGAAGAATTATCCTATAAAGAACTTTCGGTACTGAGAATTCATTTTATGCTTCTGAAAGAAAGGACTGTGTACTCATAATTAGTTAGAATATAGATTTGAAGGTTGAATCTTAACTTAAAACTCCTTTTATTTTGCTTGAGTGGAAGTAGGCAGAGAAAATTACTAACTTGGACACTAGATTTTTATTTAGTAATGATAGACATCTTCACTGTACATTTTATATTATTACTAAATAAATCACTAATGGAATATTTTAGTTGAATTTAAAGAGGTTATCTTCTATTTATATATTTATATTTATTATGTAAGTTACATTGTCTTTACCATCGTTGAAAAGCTATAAGTGTATGGAATATATTAAATATGAATATTAAATAATATACAATATATGTGTGTGTATAAAAGTTGCCCACTTCATATATATTGTAAAATCTACCTTGCATAAATATCTTCAAGATTTAGCATATAATTTTTTTACAACATATAATTATTGACTGGGACATAAGAAATGAAATATAATATTACCATTTCCAAACCTAGTCTCTCAGGTTTTTCTGAATCAACTAGACATATAGGTTGTTCCAATTATGGTTCCTCTTAATAATTAAGACTTTTTTCTCCCAATAAATGACCAATATCATTTTTACAAATATCCATTCTAAATGTTCTCTAATATAATTAGCATTTGATTTGTTTTTAACTTTGACCTCATCTAGAACATTGACATTAGATAAGCAATAGAGTATTAACTGTCACAATTTTCATTTTAATATGATTTACTATGTTTACTTGACCACACTCTTTTATTTGAACCTACTATTTTATTAATTGTACATGGCAATCAGACTTGTCTATAGAGGTTTAGAAATTTATAGATGTCTAGGCATTAGTCTGGACTTCTGGAATTTCTTTGCTGGATTATTCATAATACTGTTCAAAAATATATTTTCCTTTATAGAAATTATGCCCATCTTTCTAAATCAGATAAAACATACACAGGCTTATTTGAAAAATTGAACATATTAAAATATTCGTAGGCTTAATCATTAACTTATATTTTGTCTAAAAATTTATTCGAATGGGTCTGTTATTTTTGGGGGCAGGCCACAGAAACTAAATTTCCTTTTTAGTTTCTTTATTCTTTTTTTGTTTGTTTTTTATTCTTATTTATTAACTCTCTTCAGACCTTTTGCCTTTGAATTTTAACTAATACTTGCCTTTTAGGAAAGTGTGTCTCTTTCCTAATGGCTGATTAGTTTGTACATTTAGGTAATATTTTAAAGTATTAATAAAAAACATAAGTAATAACAATGTAAAACAGAAATATATCTTTTATAGACTTGAAGTGTGTAATATATAGAACTTTCATAATTCGAAAACATTGGGAGACTTCTCCAAATATTTCTGATGCATTTTATGTTTACAACTTCTATATGAAAATATTCTTTAATGTTTCATATGGAAAAGTCATGTAGGAAATAATACATTAACATTTATTTAGGCCTCAATTAGAGCCCTGGTGGAGTAGTGAGTATGTGTTAAGCGTATACTCAAACTTCAGGGTCAGCAGTTTGAAACAGCCAGTTGCTCTGCAGGAGTAAGGTGACGCTCTCTACTCCTATAAAAAGTCTAGTCTTAAAAACCACAGGAGCAGTTCTGATCTGACATATTGGGTCACTATGAGTTAGAATTGACTTCACAGTGAGTTTGAGAAAATGGAACTAATCCAGATTTTTAAGTTAAAAGCAGAGGTTTTTTAAGATAAAGGAGTTATGAGATTTTCTATATATTATATACTTGTATAAAAGTTGGCCATGTTATCAGATTCTTTTCTGGTAGGTTGTGGTTATTCATCAAACACTTTCTTTGATGTTTTCGTGGGTGGATGTTTCCCTATAAAGGTGATGACTTCCGTCATAAGTAAAGGAAGGCAATATCAAGAGTATTTAAGCTTTGTGTTGCTATCTTGCCTCTTATTATGGTTTGAAAATACAAAAAAAAAAAGTACTAAGTCCCTAACTCAACATTTGTTTTTCATGATACTGTTTTAATGTTTCTTTGGAAACTTCATTTACAAATAGAACAATAATAATAACATCACAACTTTGTCATTTAAAGAATTGGCTACTCCTGTTTCCAGTTGGAAAATTATGTGTGTGCATACCCTTGCTTCCATTATATTTATAAGATAATTGTCTCAATAAAAAGTAGTAACTTTGGAGTGTAGAAAATGATTGTAATTTTCAAATCATTGTAATTTGAAAATAGGAAAATAGGGTAGGATTTAGATTGAAAAAGAAAACTATTTTATTAAAATATAAACTTTTACAAAAGAAATATATTCCACTTGGAACCTTCTGGAGGTTTTTTTTTGTTTGTTTTTTGTAATATCTTTCAAATAGAAATTATTTTGTGGTCAGTGTTTTAGTTAGCTAAAGTTCAGTAGATTTCAACTCACTGCAAATGTTTAATCATTGTTGCTTTTTCTGGAAATATTTTCCCATACTGTCTAAGCATTCATTGTGCTTTACAATTTATTCATGGGTACAGCCTACAGGTTCATAAATGCTACTCTTGCATTTTAAAAGGAAAGAAACTTTTGCCTAGTGTTACCTAATTATTTTGCTTTTCAAAATGCTAAAATTACTTTATTCAATTAAACACTGAAAAGTAGTTTCATAGGGAGATTTCAGTTCTCAGCTTAACTGAAATATTTCAGCCTCTTAGTTTTTAAGTAGGAATCAAAGAGAATAATTTTTCCCCTTTAGAATTATAATTTTTTTCCTAGATAACTTTTTAGTAACTTTTGTTTCTATACTTTGTCCTCCTGAAATTTTGTATAACATAGATGACATTACTATTAGATCTTTTGCATTTTAGTTTTTTAAAATTTCCAATTCTATTTTTACTACTGCCAAAAACTGATTCATAAACACATCACAAAGTTTTTGTGACTACTGCTTATCTTATAGTTAGCTTTACCAAAAGGGGAAAAAAGTTGTTAGAACACCATGTGCCTGCTCTGTTTTATTCAGAAACTCCTAGCAGAGGAGCTTTTTCTTGACCCCCACTGTATACTTACTAGACTTGAGGTAAAACATTTGCATAAAGTAATCAGTGGACCTGGCCAGTAAGCCATTCTCTATTAGAATCATTGCTATAAAAGTGAAACCATTAAGGCAAAAATATACAAAAATGTATTTAATTTACCTCTCTGGTCAGTTTTTCTGGGACCCAGATTTAATAGAAATAGTTGTATCATAGGGAGCATCTCTCTGAAAGGGATGACAGTAACTTGAACGCATCTATATGCACATAGTCAAGTCACTTCAAAGGGGAAAAGTTGAAAATTCAGAACTGTTTAAAATTTTTAAAGTACTTGTAAATTGTGCTGCTACTTAAATATTTAAGGAATTCAAAAAGTTGTGTAGTTATTTAAGATGTTCTTTCGCATTCTACTGGAATTGACCCTGAAAAAGAGAATCTTAAGCCTTATTTATATCTAATTATTGATATACAAACTGTGACTCAATAGATATTTATATGCCAAAATGATTTTTCAAGTTGAGAAAGGTTTAGATTTAATAAAGATAATATGAATATACCTAGTTTCAACTCTCATTCTCGTATCAATGAAGTTACTGTCAGTTTGGTGCAATATCTTCTTTCCTCATTCTTTTGAAATTAATTATATAAGATGTATGTTTTATTACATTGAGTGCTGTTTTAATAATTGTCATTGTATGTATATGAGCTAATGTTAGATTTGTTTCTGTATAGCATGATTGAAAATAATAATTGAAAAATTTGCACTTTTTTTAGTCTCTTGGAAATTTGTATTCTAGCAATTTTAAAAGAATGTGCATTTATTTTGTAAATAATAACAACTTTGTGTATGAAAATGGATTTGGATCAAATAAAAAAAAAGATGTTACTTTCTTTATTGGATCTGTGTTTCTCTATTTGTAGTACCTGATTAGAACTTAGCCCTGGCAAAGTTATTTGAGTAGGCAAGGAACTGAATACAGTACTTGTAAAACAACCAATTAATTATTGCTTCTTCTTTATGTAGTCCTATATGCACAAGATAAATATTATGTTCATTGACTAGTTTTTGGTCAGCACATATTTAGCCTTGAGAAAATTATTTTACTCTCCCAGCAAATGATCATAGCTGTAAATCTCCACTTATGGTTAACCCAAATAACACATTTAATTTTTTTTAACCTTTATTTACTTTCATAATTAGCTATTGTCACAATCCTTCTGTTTTTTGTTAAGGCTAATAGAACCTAAGACGTACTAAGACAGAAGCCAAGCTCTGTGCCAGATTCTTGCTTGTACTTTTGTCTCTAGATCCAGAATAACAAGACAACAGAAATGAACATTAAACTTTACCTAGCCCAGCACCATCTATGTACTATACTACAATTTTATTGAAGAGACTTTGCTAGAACTGAAAACCTCTTGCAGTCCTTCATCTGGTGAGATTCCTCAGTCATTGGACAATCAAAGACAGGTTAGTTACAGGTTCATTTGAGACCACTTTGCTTTTGTGAAGTAAGCCCAGGACAACCAAACCAGGCTTCAAATAAATGTGTCTGTTACAATAACAGTGGATGTTCTCTTTCCATCTCTAACAGTTGTCACGGGCTCTTGTAAGACAGTTTACGTACATAACAGTGTTTTATGTATTTTCTTTAGGTTGTAGTTACTAAAAGGTATTTCAATGCTAACTTTGCTGAGATTCAACGACTTACAGTATAGCATTGACTTACCACCCCTTTTCATGAAAAGGAAAAAACAAACAAAAGAACCAACTTGGCTAACCTGGCAACTAAAAGGTAAAAGTGTAGGAATTTGTTTTCATAGCTGCCTCCCACCCATGTCTTTTCACTGCTCCTCGAGAGTAGTATCACCCACTTAGGGAAGCACTGAGTTAGACACCGGCGTCATAACTATTGTGAATGTTTAATGCACTACGTCACCACATGCATGCGCTGTTAGGGGTATGGAGAGAAAATGAAGATAGATGTAATTATTCAACGTGGAACAACAGTAGTTTCTGAATGTACCGCATTTGTCGTACTACGAACAAAAGTCAGAGATACGTACAGATGGGAAAACGCATGATATTTATAGGAGAACGGGAGCATAATGTCAAAGAGGTTGGAAAGGGCATTAATGACACTGATGACCTATAAAACACAATCCATCAAAACCTTACAGCTGAAAGGGAATACACAGCTGGTCTGGAATGTGTACTTGAAAAAATTGTATAAAATCTTGAAAATTTTGCAGAAATAATCTATTTTAAAACTGTAATCATTTGTAGTATATGCAAATATTTTGGCTATTCCCTCCATATTGATTAAGTAGGAGTTGTAATTAGAGTACAAATTCACCAATTAATGCAATATGTAATCCAGTCCAGGTAGCACAAGTGACTACATGCTGGACTCGTAACTGAAAAGATGGCAGCCCTCAGAATTAAGGCTGGTGATCTACTGACAGTCAGTGGGTGAAGTATCAGGCTGCTAACCTTTTGGTTAGCAGTTCAAACCCACCTGCTTCCCTGAGAGAAAGTTGAGGTGGCCTGCTCCCATAAAGACTTGTAGTCTCAGGAACCTTAAGGACCTCACTAAGGAACAGTTGTATTCTGTTCTATAGAGTTGCTATGAGACTGAATTGACTCGATAGTAGGTTTAGGTGTTTGAGTCTACTTGTCACACAGTCATGAAAACTCTGGAGTGTGGTTCTCTGCTTACTGGGATTGCTGAGTCAGAATCAGCTTGATGGCAGCTGACAGCAATACATCACTCAGTGCTCATTCTAACAAATGACAAGTTCCACGCCTTTATTTCCCAGTTGCCTAATATACAACCAACAAGAGATTCCACTATTTTAGGGCCATTACCATGTTTTAAATATATTGAAACCTGAGTGAAATAAACTAGACACAC